TGATTTGAATAGCTTCTATAAATATATGTTGTATAATTAATTAAATAAAATCAACTTTTTTATTGAAACATTGTATAAAGCATTTCAATTTGCAAAAAAAAACCATTGCAAACAGCAAACCTCAATCTTAACAAAAATTACCTTTTAAACCATAAGCTAAATATTTTCCAGATACATGAACAGCCAACAACTGGCCTGTGTAAAGATGGTGATCCCATGTGAAGTCAACAATATTTTTCAACTTCACTTTAGAACTACCATGGTTATGATCACCAGGGGAAGGGATAATGGTCACATTTGTGCTACATAATCCCACTGAATGTTGATCCTCCTGTCCACTAAACTCTCTGTAGAAATAGAATGCTACATATCAAAATCTTCGTATAAATTAAAACTTACATGTTATCTCCTTTCCTTATTATTAGTATAAAAAAGAAAGAAATATCAAATAAGCAATACAAAGTATATATTAATAAAGAAATGCTAAACATGTTTGGATGGAAACTTGTTTCAAGTTGATATTTATAATTCTTATTTAAGATCACCTTAAATATATTCTTAAAAATGTTATAAATCAATCACTGGCCGATATTCACAGTAAATTCTTATATTTAAGATTATCTTAAGTATAATCTAAAGATATCATGAATTAATCAGAGAGCCATATTGTATTTTAAGATATTACTTAAAATGGTCTTCTAATAAGAGCAGAATATATCCATCAAGTTGTATTAGCATTTTAAGACACTATTAAAATAAGATCAAATTGTGAATACCAGTTAAGTCTTAAAGAAATCTATCTAAGACCAGTATTCATAGTTGGGTTCTTATAGTTAAGATTATTTTAAGTAAAGTCTTAAAATGTCATAAACCAATCACAAAATTATATTAATATCTCAAGGTATTATTTAAGGTAATCTTGAAATAAAAACAGACTATGGTTATGTTTACACCACTTAGTCCATCTATACCATAGATGTTTTTGTTTAAGATAAACATCTATTTTATAGGCAGCAGCTTCAATGCATGATGTAAACATAGCTTATGAATACCCTAGAAGCATATGTAGAACCATGATATTTTATCGAAATATATTAATCAATGTAATATACCTTAAACTCTCATACAGGATATCAAAAACATAAGACGAGTCGAAAGTGAAAGTATTACTTATTAAATTAGATAAAAGAATATTTATTTAACATAAATTCATAAATAAATTTTATAAACACACAAGCAATTTGTTCAAATTTATTTTAGTTATAGTATGTAAAAATAAAACAGATTATTTATGTTATCTGATCCATATATATTAATATCATATTTTTTGCGATTTAATAAATATTAAAAGTCTTTTATTTTTTTAGTTGCTCGGTTTTAACGTTCTACTTGTCTTCTCGAGAGTTTAATGGAAAGTGGCAATTACAATATTTTTATTTTTGTCACAATTAGAGACACAAAACTTCATACCATGGTCCTAAAAGCTCTAAAAGTTCAAAAGCTCTAAAAGATCTCTCAAAGAAACTTACACTGTCTGCTGGAAGTTGAGATGTCTCAGGTTGTCCTCCCCGGACTTACTCATATCGTCGGCTGTGTTTCTATAAAACAAATGAATTTACGGATTTGTACGACCCGGGTTGACGATTCCTAACCCCAGCCGGCGATGCCGTTGAACTGCCCCCATGGCATTACGAGATCAATCTCTCTCACCTCTCGGGCATAAATGCCGTTGTTTCTCGCCGTACCGCTCGTTCAAGATTAAATGGATCAGTCGAGCAGCTGAGCGCTCATCACCGGCACGATTCACCACGATCTCGGGTAAGCACCAACGCACACGCGAGAACTCAGTAGATCTCAACGAAAGTGAAACGTCAGGCGGCCATCATCCAGACACCCACTTGTATAACTACGGCTGTATTCCAAAATTCATTGCCAGCGCTGAAAATTTACAGTCTGCGTTACATGTACTATACATTTTCAGCACTGACAGTGAATTTTGGAACACAGCCTACATCTACAAAGTGGATGCCAGTGTGGGCAATTCCTGTTAAAGTATAGGTACATTTTTCGAGCCGTACATTTTTCAAACCAGTCATTTTAACAATAAAAAAAATCACATGTTCACGAATATCAAGCGTCAATTTTAATTACGTTAATTTTTATTACTGAAACGGCTTTAAGTGGCTCTTGAAATACCTTGAAAATACCTTATCAGCTGTTTGAATTCAGTTAGTGCCATTCACTCACTTGAGTGCCCGTCTGATTGGTCGTTGATGAATGGCTAGTTCTACACAGAATCTTCTAATTGGTTAATCCAGTGGAAAAACTCAAGCATTATATGAGTGACTGCAGTCAGAGAAATCTGAAGAGCGGCCATCTTGACATTTTACTAAGGCGCTAGAAATGCCTTTTTTTGATGGATCCATGAAAACGGGATGATCCCTTTTAAGAAACTGTGTGCGCCGGTTGTTCCATCTTTTTTAGTAAATTTTACGTGTTGAGTAAGTAGCAAGATTATCGAATCACAGATTGCCAGATTTATCTAACAGGTAAAATTTATCAAAAAATGAAACACCGAGCCTGTGTATTCTGATGTATTCGATTTCTGATAGGTTAAAGAGTGCGGTCCACTTGACGCTACAAATGCTTCGAAATTTTTGAATGACCAATCAGAAGAAAGAATTTAACTGACCAATCAAAAAATGCTTCGAAGCATTCGTAGCATCAAGGATCGTAGCCAAAATCGTTTATTCTTTATTCCGAAATTCCTTATTCCTTCTATTGTGCGCAGGAGGGCCTTAAGTTTGCATTCAACAGCCCCCCCCCCCCTCTCTAGAGACTCTCTATAAGAGAGCTTGTGCGTTATTTACGTCTATAACTTAAAAACTCTCTAAGAAAGTGTTACGACAATTCTTGTGCTCAGACTCTAACGTAGAGCATAGAAGCTTTGATTAATAATATGATGAAATTATTTTAGATGTATCAAAATTATAAATAGGTAAGCCTATATATTATTATAAAGATTTTGAATTAAAATTATATAAAAAATACAGATATTAAGTGATAGAAAAGCATTGAAAGTGACATTCTAATTTTGTCAATCATATAATTATCAAAATGGACGTTTAAAATTACCAGTATATAGCAGTTTGGCAAGACATTTTATTGTAAAATAAAAGTATTGTTAAATGAAAATGTTATTTTATTAATTTAATTAAACTTAACATAAATTCTACTGGTCAATATTATATAATTTAACATAAATTCTACTCTCACAATTTTTTAAATCTAAATCACCGTGTTCGTGATACTCAAAGTGGGGATATAATAGCATCGATGATTAGTTCCGCCATTTTACTTCAAAGCCAATGAAAATTTATACAAGATTTACGCGACTTTTTATAGGGACTTTACTCCCCTTCTCTTCCTTCTCCCGCCACGACGAAGCTCGCGCGTTTAGAATTTGAAATCATTTGCGACGATTGAGACGCGTAATGGCGGACATGCGAGTAGCGCGCGCGAACAACAGCGTTGTTGAACACGATTTTGATGCGATTTTCGTCACAGAAAGAGGTATTTCTTTTTGCTTGATATAGCGATTATGGATTATTACAGATTCGACGTCTTTTCTTGCACTTTAAAAAGGGTTTATTATTTATTTCAGGTAGTTGGCGCAATGATAGAAGTAATTCTTTGCGCGGCGCGGCGCGGCGAAACTGCAGCCGAGTGAGTATAATTTTAAATGTATAAAGAAGATGTATCGAATTGAGAGTCTATATATTAAGCTTCAAACGCAACTAAAAAACTAATTTTATTTATACGTGTTGCTCACGTAAAACATTGCATTGCATGGATATTTCGTCTTTGTCCTACTTTTTATTCAATTATAAAACTACGTCGTTCTGAAATTAACTGAAACATAAATACATCATACAATCGATTTGAAATTCTGGAAGATCGGGAACTTGTTGATAGGAAGGAAATAAATTTGCGATAAATTTACATTTTATTTCTTATGTTATATTACACTATAGACAGGCTTTTCATTCGCGTATGTGTCTATCCTTTGGAAAATGGCAGTAGTGCTCAAACGTACGTAGACCCAAAAAAAGATGGCAGTAAATTCAGCTAATGTCGCTCCACAATTAAGCAGCGCTTAACAAGTACGTTCTGTATGCCAAACATTGTTTTGGATCACGTATGTTCATCAAAAGCGAAGGGGGAAAAGTGAATCGGATTGTGTAATGGTATCTCCAATAATATTCAATTTTTGTATAATTATTAACAATATATAATTTAAAACGTCCTTATTTTCATATAAGGAAAAATTGGATTAGATTCGAATTAATAATTTTTTAATTATTTACAATGGTATTTTCTCAAAAGTAATGATCGTTTTTCCGTTACGCGAGAATTAAGCGATTAAAGGAAAATTACAGGAATTCGTTTTGTAAAACTGAATTTTTAATTTCAGACGAAGAATTAAGTAATTTGAAACTGTTTGCATTAATTGCTCTTTGCAATAGAAAAATATAGAAATTTAAAGAGATTTATGAGCCAAGTAAATGAAAATAATTTATAATTTTGCAAAATAAATTTCTACAAAACTTTTTAAATTATCTATTTTTATAAGAATCCACAAAGAAGATTTTGTTATTTGAAAAAGATAAAAAACGAGAAAGATGAAAAATAAAGAATTTTTTGTCAAACAATAAAACTTATTTGAAATTTCTTATTAGTTCAAACGACTATTATGTCGGTAACAAATTTTTATTCTGATCTTATTTGTGACAATTATCTGCACGTAATTCTATTAAATAATCTGCATAACTATGTCAATTTCGTCGTTGTCATTATTGTATAATATTAGATGTTTGTCACTTGTATTTTTTCTGCATATTGAGAAGTCAGTTTATTCATTTTTATTCTGTGCCAAAACTATGCAGGGATTGATATAGCAATCCTATTATTTAATCAAATCTTAATTTAATAAAATTCTAATTTTACATCCGACTCACGCTTCACAATCGCATTCTTTACGACGAAATCGCTACAATGTTCCGGAGACTTGGCGAGGTCCTTCTTGGAATATTGTTAGTACACAGTATAGTTTTTACCTTCTGACTTTCGTCTCAAATATTAGCAATCGTCGTAAAGCTGTGCTCTCAAATTTCCAATAGGTTCTCGTGGCGAATGTCTTACGTTTTCCCGTACTGCCGTATAACGAGTAATTTTTGGGTCTTTTCGTATCATATATAATGTTACACAATGACAAAGCACACTGAGACACTGCGCCAATCCAATAGAAAAACAATATCGTCGTTATTGTGCCGTTAGTATTCACAGATCGAAGGGACGTAGAACCGCAAGGATAGACTCCTGTATGTCCCCGCGGCGATTTTTTTCACTCTCGTTTTTCATTTTTCTAAGAGTTCGCTCGCTAGTAGGTAACGACTCGAAAATTAAAACATTTTCCTTCATCGATTACAAGTTTTTGTTTATAAGCGTAGTATTTCGATTTATCTAGCGACTAATCGACCGCGTTAATCGTCACGTAAATCATATGCGCAATTGCGATACAAAAACAATGACGATCATGAGTGATCAGTGAGTGGAGAGTAAGCTAAACCATCTACCTAGTGAAGGTGTAATATTGTACTTTGAATTATTATAAATGTAAACTATGCTATGTAAAACTTCCACTTATAATACTTGTTGCTCTAGAATCAATTAATTGTCAATGACGCGTTGTTCTTCAATTTATTCCGCGTAATACATTTGACGCAAGTAAAATCTAAATAGCCGCGAGAGATGCCGCAAAAATGACGGTTTAAATATTACAAAAGATTAAAATCTCGAAGTCTGCACGAAGATATGAAAATTTAAAATCTTTATCGTTTATATATCGAGATGGTCCCTGCGGGATTTTAAATTGTATTGTATACATTATTTCTTTGGCTGCGTATATATATATATGTATATATAATTACAAAAACATAATTTCATTTCACTACAATTAGATTTAAAATTGATATATCTCAGATTTTGTATCGTACTAACAAAATGTGTCTAACAAGTGCACGGAAATATAGAATCTATGATTTAATAGACGATACATTTAATGGCTATATTAAGAGGCTACTTTCTTCCTTAATGTTTACGGAAAATCTTAAAAAATAATATTGAATCGATCGTCATTGATGTACAAAGTTTAAATTGGAATAACAATAGCAGAGAGAAGAAGAGAAACGCATATGGAACCATTATTCAGATCAGCGTAAGATTATTAATAATATAGGTAGAATATATCGATTTCATATACGTATTAAGACAACGTATATTAATGAATATACAAGAAAAATTCAGTTATAATTCTTTATGGGCACGAAGAGTGTAGAGACATGAATGTGAAGTGTGAGAATGTAAAAAGTATAATAATTATATACAATTATCAAAAACAATAAATATTCAAAATAATATAAACGCAGATTGTATATTCGCTATTCGGTTATAATTCGCGAAGGTTAAATAATATTCAGTTAAATAATATACAGTGACGTCATCATTTCATGATAATAAATATTTAATCAAATATTATAATCGCGAATATTATACCAAATATTACAACATACTACGCAATCGCATTTGATATGCTTATGATATATTGCTTATAAAGTACGCGAAAAAAATAAATAAATAAATACATCATACAGATAAATAAATAAATAAGTGATTTATGCCTTATTAAGCATTTACGGCTAAGCCTTGGTACAAAAACCTATAGAGTTAATTGAGGAAGGTATGTAACTCGTGTTTGACGGACGGATTCGTGCAAAGGAGAACCAGAATTAGGAATATATCACGTATCAAGCGAAAATGTCGACCAGTCCAGTCCATCTGCTTTGTCCATCCTTCTACGCTAGAGACGCTAATTATTCGGCGATAGATCGTGAAAGAATCGTATCCACATCCGCATTAAGTTGAAATGGTTTCAACTCCACTCTCGTTTGCACGATGCCGCATAATATTCGCCGTGTTAATATGTCGTCTATTTGCTGCGTAATTACATGCGCCGGTCGAGTGGCATATGTAAGAAGCGGTAGACTCAAAACTCGCAACGTGAAAACACTCGCTGTGCGACTGATACTTGCGCGAGATAATTTGACCCTTAACTGGAAAGACGACGTCTTTGTGTCAACGAGCTTTATTTTTGATAAATTTGAAAGATGCTTTAATTGAAATAAATTCGTAAATTAAATCTATTGAATTCCTGGCTGAAAGACGACATTAAACTTTAGCAACAGAATTATTATGTATGTATCGTACATGGAGAATTGATATCTTTCCGTTTGATGTCCATATTTTACCAGTTAAGGGCAAACAAACGATTGAAAATTTCTAACGTTAAAAAGGCTTAAGATAGTCGAGCCTACCGCTTGGCGTGATCTAAGACTAGGACATAAAATTTCGTTTATTTTGAAAAATACTGTACACAAGAATACCTAAGGCGCGTTGACGCTCATGTTCTTCGCGTTTAGACGTGTATCGAAGCTGCGACTATATACGATGGAACCGATACATTTCCGCCGTAATAAAGAGGAATAAACGTGCCAGACAATGACAAAGACTGGGTGAAGACAGAATTGATCTTTTCACTCGATAATATCCATCCTCCTTCGGTAAAAGTGTAAAGTTGCTGCGTTCATCTCTTTAAGAATCGGAAGAAGCCCTTGCTCTTATCTGGCGGTGGTGCCATCAGCATCGGTACTTGATTTTTGTGCGTAATACGAATCTGTGCCGGAAAAATATTTTTAATTTTTCCATTTAATTTGTAATTTAAATATGAAGCATCAATATCAACATATGAAGATAATTATTACGTGTTAATTATGTTCCAATGTAATATACTGAAAAGAAATCTGGTAATAATAATTAAATCTAGATAATTACTAAAGTTTTGGTGAAATAATTTCAATCAAATGTTCGAATATAATTTTAACTAAAATTAGCTAAAAGCTTTTTTCTAAATATTATCTTACTTTTTTAATTATTATCAAACGTCTGACTATTATGTTAATATTTACTAAATATTTATAAAATATTATATGCTAAAAATACATTTGATAGCTATTACCAGACTTTTTTCAGTAATATGTATGAACTTGAGAACAGGAATTTATTCTAAATAACATTTATATAAATCAAACAGAACGTCTTGATAATCTAGTATAAAATTATATATTTATTAAGACATAATTTAAAAAGAGAAAAGAATATTTCATTCTCTTCCAACAAAATGTTTGATAAAATCTTGAAGAAAAAAGTTGGCTCATTCGAAAATTTTTATTACATTTGAATAAATATTCAAATGTTATTGTTTTATTTCAGCTCACCGTGCAAGGACCCTGCATCCAAGGTTCGCCATCGATTTGCATGGGGAATCGTTTGCTCGTGATGATGGTGACGCTGCTACACTGGGCCAACCTTCGGCCGGAATGTCGGAGTCCGGTCTTCACTTGACCCATGTGCAAACAGTTCTCCAGACCAATTACCTCGATCAGATTGTCTCCGATGTCTGCAGATAGTGGGTAAGTACTGAATATTACTAAACGTTTCTTCGCATTCTATTTGCATACGTTTTTCTGCGAAGCGCAGAATATTATATTGGAAGATTAATTATTTCGCGCGTTGAGCTCACCTTGAATAGCGACCGTGAGATCTACGGAATTGAAGCTGCTTGTACTGAGTTCTTTGTCGGGTCGCTTTTTTCGCTTGCCAAGACGGTGCCGCGTGTGATGTTCGCCCCAGAGGTTCGAACCTCCGTGAGTGAAAGGAATGTTTAGCAATGCGACTCCTTGCAGAGATGGACCGTGCGCTAAATCCAGAGGCGTACCGTCGCACTGCAATCGATGAAATGCATGTAGAGTCACGAATTCCATTGATTCCTTTGAACTGATTGATTACGGATTTGACTATACGTATTTAGGACGATGTTAGAACGGAAGTGGATGATTAATTCTTGCTCTGCGCTCGGTATTTGAATATTTTAGCTCTATTCGAAATACTGATCCATTAACCAAATGAAGAAATTACATATACACGTATATACGGTATATAGGGATCATATTGACTAAAAAATATTATACGAAATTTTAATAAATATTTGTTTGAATAATACTAACTAAATATTTATTAAATATAAAAATGTATTTATTTGGTACAAAAACTATTAATTTGATTTAACCATCATTTTTTTTTACTGAGTAAATATTTAGTTAAAGTATTATTGAAAAAAATATGTATTAAAATATAGTAAATTTTTTTCTTAGTATACATATATAGCTATGCTCACAATTATCTCGAGATCTTCGTGAAGATTTTTACAACTAGCAGCGAACTGCTCCGTGGTTGCGTATTCGAAGTACCACAGTTTATTTTTCATTCTGCTATTAAATTTCTCGGGATTTTTTTCCCTCTCCATGTGAAATTTCACGCATATAGCGGCGTCGACGCCCACCGAGAAATAATTATTAATGATATTATATGGTATGCTATCCTGATTCGGTTTTTTTTCATCCTTTTGATCCACTTCTATTTGCCAGCGATCCATCATCACTTGTGTCGCTTTTTCTATTTTCTGCGAATCGTTAAGGTTTTCATGTAGCGAATTTCCACGGTAATTCGACGTTAAATAATAAAACATCCGATTTTTTATTGAGATATAAAAATAGAAGATATTTTCTCGCAATATGAAGGAACACAATTTTTCGATTTTAATTAAACTTTAGATATGTTAAAATATAGTTAAAAAGAAAAAATGTATTTTTTTACAAGAGTTCTTTTTCTCTTGCATGTTAAGAGAATGGAGAAAAATTCTTCATTGGAAAAATCCTTTCCTTTCAATTCTTCTTACTAAATAAATCGTATAAACTGTCAAAGTTATTAAAAAATTTGTCAAATGATTTCAAAAATATTTCATAATAATAATAATAGTAATAAAAATCATTTTAATTCTTTATTTTGTATAAATAAAAAAATTGTGTTTAAAAGAAGTTTTTTATCATTATTATAACTTTTGAGACTATCCAACTTTTATTTAAAACTTTTTTTTATTCGTCTTTGACGAATCATTCAAAAAGAAAAAACCGATTTTTTTTAAAGGGAGAGAGGGTCTATACGAGAAAACAATTATAAAACAATTTCTTATTTTTCTGTTTATTTTAACATATTCAAAGCTTATTAAAATAGGAAGGGGATACTTAGTTGTATTCTCTTGTCAGTTAGAATACTGAGAAAAATGTCTAGTTAGATTATATAATTAAAATTTTGATTAAAAATGGACGAATCAAAATTTTCTAGTTAAATCTATTAGAACTCTAATTGAGATAATCGGAATTCTGATTGATAATCAAAATCTTTTGGTTCGTTCATTTTCAACCAGACATTCATCTATGACGCATATTAAAATATGTACGTTAGAAAATGTATAGAATAGAACGTATATTAAAAATGTATATTTTTGCTTTACCTTAAGTACTTTGTGTACCGCTTCTCCTTCGTAACCACCACCCCAACGTAAGCACCTGGCAAGATCATTGCCTGTACCAAGAGGTATAACGCCAACGGCAGGTTGTTTCTCGAATTGCACACGATCTAGATGAAATAGTTATCAAATTGATTACAACATTGATTACAACATGCGGTTGCCGTTGTCAAACATTAAATTACTAGTAATCAATTAATAAGCGATACCGAAAAGCAACATCGAAATGATGAACTTATTACGCGTAATCGGTTAATAAGGGAAGGTTTATTGAAATCCAGGTTATTCGCTGGTCTATATAGTAGTCGATAAACCTATTATCAGATTTAATACACGATTAACAATTAGCATACAATATTGCAAAATATATTACAAAGCTTCTATGTGTCGTTGTTATTCGCGTTTTCAATATAAATTTAATTGGATACACACATCGTAATTAAATCGTGATACATACCCATAGTTTCTAAAACCCAACCAACTGTTCCATCGCCGCCGCAACAGATCACGTTAAAATTTTCCACATCCTTAAACATTTGCAGGCCCTGCATGGGCCCACCGATTGCTAGATTGTGAACTTGCCGAGGATTTAAAACATATTGAAACTTCCGTAACATTCGTTCCCCTTGTCGACCGCCCGATTTTGGATTTATAAAAACCAAAAGCGGCGTTGTACCTTCCGATGGTGTAATTTGAAAAGACATAGCTGGTTGTTGATTCGACCCACTACTGCAGCTCAGGAAAACACCCTATTTTAGATTAAAATATGATCATTATATGTTTTAACACGTACTTATCGCATCGACTTTTTATTGTCTTTTGTCAGTTATTTTTGTTGATATTTTGCAAAGATAACAAGAGCCCTTAAGTTATTTATTTTTTTTTAATTATTTGTATAATCTTTAATTTTTACAGTTTTACATTCATTACATTTATTTATAAAACATGCGACATTTCGTTAGTATGCCGTTTGAAAGCATAATCTCTTAATTTTTATTTTTATTTTCTCAGCATCTTAGAAAGCTGTAAATAATTTAATGCTAATAAACATTTTAGAAATTGTAAATAATTTATTGCGAAAAATATTACCTCAATCATTTGAATTCGAGTCTTATCAATTCGATTTCCCAATTCAATCATCGAGGTATGTGATATCATTAATTATTTACAGCTTTTAAGATGCTTATAGGCATCAAATTATTAATAGCTTTCTGAGATTCTTACATCAATAATATTAAATTACTTGTCAATTTAATTTGCGATATTATATTCCAGTTTTGATTTAGGACAAATAATCGCACAGTTTGCTTAAACTGGAAATTATTTAAATTCACGAGAAGTATTATTAAGAGGACTTTTAATAATAAGAGATAGTTAATATGGATGATTGTGTGTTGCACTTACGGAACTGACTGATGAGCTATCCTGACAGTGTTTGCTACCACGTTTGTTGTCCCTCGACAATGACCTTTGTCTCTCGAGTACAACAGGGCAAATTGCCGTAGGTGGAAGGATGTGTATCATATGATCGCCGAGCGTACATTCTGCTCGCACTTGTGACGCACATTTATTATGCAACTGCAATATTTCCGCGGAAATATTTACATGAACGGTTAGGGATGCTGCTTACACTATTACTTCAACGAATAAAATTTACATATATATTTGTTTATATTTGTTATACATATTTAATGTGCGTATTTAATGCACGTATTTAAATTTTTTACCATCTTAAATTTTGTCTGCATTATTTAATCAATTATATTAAAGAATATAAAAATCATCTTATGTATTATAATAATTTATAATTAAAGACAGAGAGAGAGAGAGAGAGAGAGAGAGAGAGAGAGAGAGAATCAATAAATTAATTATTTTATGACATCTTTAAATATATTTCTCTTTTTCTGTTTTCACTCTGCCACTCTCTTTCTCTCTTTCTCACATAACTATGAATATCTCTTGGACTTTATTTTAAATAATGAATATAATTAATTTTAAATATATGTGTTACAAGATGTTTACACATGTACACATTGCATTATATTTTACGTTGATATCAACTTGGAAAAAATACTCACGGTTAATTGACACCATCTGCAGCGTAAACCGGTAATGCCATTGTAACTCTTGATGGTCTTTCTGCATTTGGAACATTTTCCATGACAATTACCTTCGACCCAATGATGAGTCATTATTTGAGGTGTCTTCTTACTCTTAACATATGTGGCTATGCAGGAAGCTGGCGCTCTTTGTACGCATCTCTCGTGTACCGTGTATTTGCAAACTGATACGAAAGAAAGGATTGTTATTCAATGATGGTTAATAATGTTGGTTTTGAATAAAATGCGCTCGTTTTTAGAGACGGTTACGTACTTCATACGATTCTTTTTGCAGTCCCTATTCTAATTTAACTAGTTCTGGTATCGCGAAGTAGAAGTAGCAATAAGGATTTCTTACTCACAGACACAACATAGCCCTTTCTTGCCAAGGCCAACCAGCATATTTAGACAGAGATTGCAGTACGCGGGTTTACTGAAATGTTTTAGCCTCCACAGATGATTTCCGTCTTCCTTTACGTGGGAATCCAAACCCAGAAGAACTAGCAGGGGTATTGTCGTGAGGCCACCTCTCTTCCATTCTTCTAGCGAAACTGTACCATCTGCGTCGTAGTCAATTTCTATCATCATATCTTGCAGAATCTAAAATGGAATTATATTATACTTTCTATGTATTGATCCCATATAATTGTCAGCTGTTTTCGAAAAATTTCTTCGTTTTTTTTTGATATTTTTTTTGATATAATAGTAAATAGTAATAGAAAAGTTATTAATTGAATTGTAATGGAAAGACGATCAATCTTCAAAATCTGAGTCTGTTGAAAGCAGGATTCATTTCTACCTACCGGCTTTAACTCACTGACGTCCCAGCCGAGATATTCCGCGACATTCATCATTTGATTTACGATACAGTCCATCTCCTAGATACACATAATAATAATAATATTAGTAATAACGATAAAAAACAACCGTTATATTGTATGCTCCATGACGCGTATCGTTTATTAAAACTATGTACAATGTATTGAAATATTGATCATCCTTTCTTTGAAGTTTTGTATACGTATATCAAATATATATCTTTTCTTTATATATCGATCATACATATACGAATCTATAATATCTTTCATCTTTCATTAAAAACTCGTGTTTTCTCCGTGGCTTTTTATTTGCCCTGGCTAGATAGATGCCAATGAAAGCAACGGCTTCGCCGCATATTTTCATCTGCTTTTTCCGCGGTTCCGCTATCGGCAACGTGAATATTTATCGGCTGTACAATTTGTATACCGCGATATCAATGATTTATTCAACATGGAACTCATTATACGGGCGATCGTCGTTTTCCCGACATCCTTCTTGGCCGTAATTTCATGTCAACACATAAATCGCATCTCTATATATATGTATATGCATCAATATGCACTAGGCATATCTCATGCCCAAATGACAAATGTATTGAACACCTGCTGCCATAAACAATTTCGAATGTAAAACACTTATTTTGCTGTTTACTTATTCCGCAACTATCGTGGTATCTTAAAATCAATGTCGAAACGACGAAATTCCAATGATCGGTAAAAATTCTACTCTGATAGAATATTTTTACCGATCATTGGAATTTCGTCGTTTCGACATTGATTTTAAGATACCACGTTAGTTGCGGAATAAATAAATAGTAAAATAAGTGTTTTACATTTGAAATTGTTTATGGCTTAATTATCGCTTAATTATTTTAACTATTTTCTGAGATTAATGAATATAATGATAACGTTTATTATTAATGTCTCGTTATTTAGAAAAAAGATTAATAAAATTAGTATCGTACATCAATAAATATGAGACATTATTTATTGATGTACGATAAGCGTATAATGAAACAATAATGATATAAAATGGACCGTTTTCACATAATAATAATAATAATAATAA